CCCTGGCGGGCTTTTAGAACTGTCCGTTAAAATTGGCACACGTCTGTGTTTATTATAATACTGGATCTGAAATGAGTCCAAGATTACTGGGTGATTTTTTGGCCATATCAATATGTCCTTATCAGATCCCTTATATCTGAATCCATCCCCATAACTCCCACTCAAAAGAAAATCGTTTATTGCTCCATCCTGATTATACAACATATTCAAGACATCAAGCACATCTCTTCTCATGGCCAACTGTTGTGGAGTTCCGAACAAATTACACAGTTCTTTAAATACATACTCTGATAAGTGCTATAGGCCTAAACTTCTCTCACTGATAGAAACAACAATAATTTTTAATGGTATTATTCATTTTAGGTTGTAAATCAAAACTTAGTTTGCTAGTTAATTTGATCTGATTCATTTTTTTACCTGTGTGAAGTGCCTATGGCTTCCATTTTTGTCGACAATTATTTCTGGAAATTTTCAGTGTTTATTTTAAATGCCCAAAAATATTATGAATTGTGATTTTATTTTTAGCTCAACTGAGTTGAAAGCTCAAGTGCATGAGCTTAATTTGCCATCACCCGTTGTCCGTCGTCCGTCCGTCTAGCTGTTCGTCTATCTGTAAACTTTTCACATTTTCTTCTTCTCAAGAACCACTGGGTCAATTTTAAACAAACTTTGTACAATCACCCTTGGGTGAAGGGGAGTTTTATTTGTTTAAAAAAGGGTCATGTTCCCTTAAAAGGGGAAAGAACCAAGAAAAGATAAAAATAGGACAGATTCATTAAAAATCTCAAGAACCACTGAGTCAGAAAAGTTGAAACTTGTGTCTCACAAATTACATTCTAAATTGTTAAAATCATGCCCCCGGTGGTAGGGCGGGACCAGAATAGGGAATTCAACTTTTATATTGAAATATGTAGGCAAAATCTTTAAAAATCTTCTCAAGAACCATTGGTCCAGAAAAGATGAAACTTATGTGGGAGCATCCTGGGTAGTTTAAATCTGAACTGTTTAAATATCATGACTCCTGAGGAGGGGGTTACGATGGGCCCGGGGCCAAAATAGATGTTACAGGATGAGAACCTGGTGAAGATAAACATAGCCAAAGCTACTCATGTGAGCGATGTGGCCTGTGTTTTTATAATGCTAATAATAATGATGAATTTATAATATTAATTGGTAGTGGAATTTAAATAACAAATCTGATTCCTTTTCTAAATATACATGTATACTAGAACAATCAAGCAAGGTCATCTTACGACTGTTAAATGATGGAAATTATTGGGTGTTTAATGCATATAACTGGACAAATTGTCTATATTTAGATATATTCAGGTTCTATTATTAAATTTAATTTGCCTATAAACTGGTATATAAGGTTAAGAATGTAATTTTTTTTAGCTCAAGCCAAGTATCATAAAATTTTTCCTGATAAAATCACCGGATATGAATTTGGATCTATTGTAAGAGGCAAGAGCCACTTATGGACTTTTTTGGCCCTGAGACTTGCTGAAAAATCAAAACTGTTCAGATTAGGTTGAAAATGCAATATTTATCACTTAGCAGACTTATTCTTGTATTCATATGAAGCAGAATTTATGCAAAATCTTGTGCGTGAAAAGAAGAAAACACTTGCTGTGGCCTTCAACTCGACATTTAGATATATCAACGACGTATTGTCAATTAATTACGGAAGCCCATTTAGGACCTATCAAAAAATATTTTTGAATTCGTTATAACGATTTTTATAATTCATTGTAACGAATTTAATTTGTTATAACAGAGTTTTAGAATTCGTTATAACGAATTTAATTTTTTATAACAGATTTATTGAATTCGTTATAACGAATTTAATTTGTTATAACAGATTTATTGAATTCGTTATAACGAATTTTATTTGTTATAACAGATTCATTGAATTCGTTATAACGAATTTAATTTGTTATTACAGATTCATTGAATTCGTTATAACGAATTTAATTTGTTATTACAGATTTATTGAATTCGTTATAACGAATTTAATTAGTTATTACAGAATTGTTGAATTCGTGATAACCAATTCAAGAATTTGGTTATAACGAATTCAACAAATCTGTAATAACAGATTAAATTCGTTATAACGAATTCAATAAATCTGTAATAACAGATTAAATTCGTTATAACGAATTCAAAAAATCTGTAATAACAGATTAAATTCGTTATAACGAATTCAACAAATCTGTAATAACAAATTAACTTCGTTATAACGAATTCAATGAATCTGCTATAACATATTAAATTCGTTATAACGAATTCAATAAATCTGTTATAACAAATTAACTTCGTTGTAACGAATTCAATAAATCTGTTATAACAAATTAACTTCGTTATAACGAATTCTAAAAATCGTTATAACAAATTCAAAAATATTTTTGATAGGTCCTAAATGGGCTTCCGTAATTAATAATGATAATTTCCATTCCTATGTCGATACGATATATCCCGGTGAGCTTGAGATAAAAGATACCACAGAGTCCGACACTTCTGCTTCATGCTTGGATATTTTACTTGAAAAAGACACTAACAACCAAGCTCTATGTTAAACGTGATGACTTTAACTTTTCTATCGTCAAATTCCCTTACTTATGCAGCAATATTTACATTTGCAAGTATCTTTCTTACATGAACCTATTGAAGAGAAAATACGTTCAATTCTGTGTGAATTTTATTTGGGGATCAGAGGTCATAGCGCGACCGAATCACAGAGCGATGTGATATTTTGACCAAGCAACTTCTAGGTTATTGCGCGTCACTACATAGCAATACGTTAGCCCGTTCTTGTAATAAATAAAATTCAACTCGATATGTATTCGTTTCAAATGTAAATATAAGTAATAAACAAAGATGTTAAAAAGTTCACTGGAAAATGAACTTTTAGTTGGTACGTGATCAAATCTACTGAGAAGCCCTTCGGGCTTCACAGGATTTGATCACGTGACCAACTAAAAGTTCATTTCCCAGAGAACTTTTTAACGTTATTGTTTATTTCTTAAATATACCTTCATCACCTGCATACGGAGTATATATATCTCTGTTGATTCGATACGCAAGAGCATGCTCTACGTATGAACAATTTCTAAAACAAGATAAATTATGGACAAACAAGATGATGAAACAGGAATATCAGCAGTCTCGTTTAAAGTAATCATTTCGTAAGTTCTATGGTCGATACAATAACTTTGTCAGCAAATACAATTTATCACTGAGTCAAATGCTGACTGACGTTTTTCATACCGATTGTTAGTCCATTATTTATACACTGAATTGACGACGGATTTTTTCCGTTATTTCCTGATCATGACAAGGAGCACCCGGCGGGTGTGACCGGTCGGCAGGGGATGCTCACTCCTCCATGGCACCTGAGCCCACCTCTGATGTTTCGGGGGTCTGTGTTTGCTCTGCTCTTATTTTGTATTTTTAATGGACTTTGAGATTAAAAACTGTTTGTTATCTCCATATCCTTCCCTTAATCACCAACGGTTATATTTTTCATTGTTTTGAATTAAAATTGATCAATAATGATATAATTAGTAAGGAGAAGTAAGGAGCACATTTTAGATAAATATTACAAAATACCTAGACAACTTTATGTGACATGTTTTCGCAGTCATTAAATTTTTAAAAGCGTGAATGAGGGGTGTAATTTGTTATGACACTGAGACAAGAACTTCGAAATGGCTTATAAAACAATTAGATTTTATAAAATTCATGCATTAAATGAATTATTACTTTTTTATAGACTTATTAAGAAACCAATATATGGGATATCGCATTTTAAAACATAATTATTATTTAATCCTCTCTGTTTTAAGATCCGTGTTTGTTCTGCTCTTATTTTGTATTGTTTTATGGACTTTGATATTGAATACTGTTCGGACCTCCGAAAAATCAGAGGAGGGATCAGGTGCCATGGAGGAGTGAGCATCCCTACTGAGCACACCCGCCGTGTGTTCCTTGTCATGATCGGAAAAATAACGGAAAATCCGTTCTCAATTCAGTGTATAAATAATGGACTAACAATTAGTATGAAAAACGGTAGTCAGCATTTGTCTCAATGATAATTTGTATTTGCTGACAAGGTCATATTGTATCGACCATAGAATTTACGAAATGATGACTTTTAATGAGACTGTTGATATTCTTGTTTCATCAACTTGCTTGTTAATAATTTACCTCGTTTTAGAAATTGTTCATAGGTATGCAGGTGATGTAGGTATATTGCTGCAAATGTTTTAAGTAGGATAATCCTCAAACTATCCATTCTGTGAGAGAAAAAACTATTCTCGGGGGCCTCGAACAGTTCCTTCTCTCACAGAATGGACAGTTTTTGGACTTTCTCCTTTACATTAGAAATATCGTATCGAATTTTGTTTTTGTTCGAATATAAAGCCTTACAAGATAGTATTGTTTAAGATGTATTGTACTTCAATTACTTACATTTTATGTTCTTTTCTTTTATACTTCATTTCTTTGTTAAATTGCAAGTATAAAATAAACCAAATCTGAAGTTTTCATAAATACGGAAATTATTTTTTTTATTCGGTCAGTGAAAGGAATTGACCTTACCCCATAGTCAAACATCAGCTTTGGGTAGTATTACTGTTATTCTTGACAGTAGCCTAGTGTTGGCTCGATAAAGGCATTTCAAAATCTACACAACAATCTACCTTCTTTATCATGATTATTTATAAAATTACATATCTATCATTCAATGTTAAAAAACAAAAATATAAATTCATTAAAATAAACAGAAAAACAAGTTTAATATATCACATTCAAGTTACATGGACAATTAATATCTACAATATTTATTCTGTATTCTTTTCAATGTTGCAGCTTGTAATTTATGAAGCGGACATTGTCTTAGTGATTTATAGTCAGAGTGTGGAGCAGTCTGGAGGTTCCCTGTAATCTATTGACAGATCTCCAGAATCTGTCAAGATACTTGAATGCTGAATACTTCTTAACTACACGTAGCGAAATAAATGTTCGTAAATCAATATTAAAATTCGTATTATTGAAGCAGTTTCCATGTGGAGGAATGAACGTTGTCTGAGTGATTGTTGGTAAGAAAATAGAGCAGCCTTGAGGTCTCCTGTCGTCTGTTGACAGATCCCCAAGATCTGCCATGATATGTCTCTGAATATAATGGGTATATGTTTCCCTTGATCATAGTGAACTAGGGCCAGTAGTTCATTCAACGCTTTGTCACTTGAAGTATTAAGGTGTTTGTAACATAAGACCTCTAGCATTAAGGACAATACGAGGGGTGGGATTGACAGTTTTTCCCATCTGTTCTGTAAAATAGACTGTTGCTCTATTATTAAATCATTGATATAAACTGTATAGTTGCATAAGTTGATATCATTTGCCAAAGACTGTCTAAATTTTGTAGATAATGACCTTCCACCTACAGCCTCGGTATACTTTTCTGCATCAACCTCAGACATGTACACCAGATACGGCCGTGCTAATTTGTCTTTTGCTATTTTTATAACAGATAAAGCTTCTTCGTATCTGCATGTTTGGTAATAATACATTGCAAGGTACAATCTGTCAGAAATACAACCGAACTTGGCTGCCAATTTCAGCATGTGGCAGGACAATTTATCAGGAATGTATATCACTTTGTTTTTGCTAACTTCAGTATGGGTCTTGTAGCTCATATACGTATTGTGTATCAGGAATGCAGTTCGTTGAAGGATTACTGACGTATAATTCTGTAACATGACAATGTGATACTTTGATAGGTGGAAACCCATCAATTTTTCTATCTGGTCCAAGATACTCTTATAACTGTCAAAGTCCAGATCATCTGGTGGTGGATCATTTTTATCTATCTCTTCAAATAGTTCTGCATCACTCTCAGCCTCAGCGATCAAAGATTTTTCGTCTATACGAATGGGACATTGGGGATTATAAAGGGCATTAATGATATAGGGCCTGATGGAGGGACTCAGTAACAGGCATGATATGCCCTTTTCATATAATGTAAACAGTTGAAGGAATAACATTACTTGTGGTTCACCATAGATTTTGGTCAAAAACATGTTGTTTTCTGGAATAAAAAAGTTAGGACACACTCCTTCATAGACCCATTTCAGAATGAGTTTAAAGCAGACCCAGAAACACTCAAGAAGATTTTGTGGAGTCCATTGTGGAATCTTATTTTCTTGCAGAACCCAGAAAATAGCTGTTTTCATGTGATAGGAACACAGTAATTTTTCTTCCTCACTTAATTCAATGTTAATTACTTCATTTAAGAACAGTTTCAGCAAGCCGTATGTTAAAAATTGGCAATGGTTCATTGTGTAGGTGAGCTTTTGTTCTGCTTTCAAGAATGATATCCTCCACTCATGGTGTAAATGTTTGCCTAAACTGTGTCCTATAGCTACAAAGTGACACCCACTAGTAATGATGTCATGAACAACACGGCGTTTTGGCCATAAGTGACATCTTTCAATCCATGAAGAGGCAGATGGGGGCCAAAAGTCGGATGCAAAACAGTGGGCATAATCATATTCAAAACCTTCTATAACACCTAGACTACATGGTCCATGTATATTAGAATTAGATATTAATACAGAACGCACATTCTCTCTGTATAAAGAACTAGATATATAATATCTATCGTTCATTTTGAAAGTAGATCGCACTACATGATTTGATGCTCTAGGTACTGGTAACCAGAGTAAAGTGTACCCCGGTGGGCTATCTGAATTGTCTGAAAGAATTGTCACGCGTCTTTGTGCATGGTAATACCTGGTCTGAGATACGTCCCAGATCACCCGATGATTATTTGGCCATATCATCATATCTACATCGGATTCTTTCAGTCTGAATCCTTCACTTCTACTTCCACTCGAGAAAACTGCTATATCATCAGCTCTGACATGACTGTTCAATATATTGAAAACTTCCATGACATCTCTCCTTATGGACAACTGGTGTGAAGTTCCCAGTTTTTTACACAGTCCCATAAATGCAGATTCTGACAAGTGCTGTATACTTCTTTCACTGATAGAAATTGGAATACATATATGTTTATTATATGTACATTTTATGTTTAGCAATCCACTCATGAATAAATTTTAAATACATTAATTTCACCAGTATATCTGATTTCATTTTTCTTACTTGTATGGGGTGTTGCCAAAATCCATTTCTCCTGACGGAAATTGCTTAAATTTTTCATTACCTATATTTAGGTTTGGAAAGTCTGAATTCTGCTTTCATTTTAGATTTTGTTTAATATTTGCATTAATGAAATGCTAAAATTAAGGGTAGATGGATAACGTAATTTAAAAGAGTGTAAAAAGATGAATTTTTATTTACTTTTGATGCCAACATGTGACATAAAAAAAATCTCATATCTTACCACTGTGCTTCAGAACTTTAAAAGGACGAAAAATTTTTGGGGCATGATTTGTTTACATTGTGACTTTTTGACAATTTTAAATGCACTTTATTTTTAGGTTACATTGTTACATTTCTTAAACGTACTGAATGGTTAGTCTGTCATTATTTAAAACTGTCTCAAATTACTTGAACCAGTCTCAAGTTAATTTCCCTGATTATTTGTCCATCTATCTGCCCTTTTGTCTGTTCTTATATAAACTTTATAGTACGTACATCATGTACATTTTATACATTCTCCAAATTAATGGGCCAATTTTTATATAAACTTGACACGGAAAGAAATATTCTTATCAAGAACTACTGGCCTACAAAAGATAAATCTTTTATACAAAGTTTCATTATATTGAGTCGATTCAAGTTTCAGTGTTTTCAAATCATGATCCCTGGGGGTATGCATGGGACTATTGTAGGAAATCAATGTTTTACATGTGAATGCATGTATATAGGAATTAAAATAATAATGAGGAATGCAACAAGCTTTCACGTTATTTTGCATGCATTTGATATCCCAGATAGTTTGGATTTTAATTTGTTCAAACATTGACTATGGATGAACAGAAGATTTTTTGTTCTTTCAGAAACAGCAGTTCAACAGTCGTATTAATTATTATCCCAATGTTGTGAAGATTCAAATTTTGTTTTTAAAAAGTGGCCCCTGGGGATAAAGTGGGTAAAAATAGGTATTCAATTTTATATGGGTCTACATGTATACAGGAAATTAAAATTCAAGACTTACAGGGCCAGAATCAATCATATCGATAAGCAAGCATTCCTCATGGTTATGATTTCAGTGTATCCAAATTATGGAGACTGGAGAATACTAGTATATACAGTCAAATTTCATCATTTTGGACCGAGTAAAAACTTTAACTGTAATATGAAGATAACGAACAGTATTCAAACTCAAAACTCCATTAAAGAATACAAAATAGGAGCAGAGCAATCACTCTCCTCTAAAACACTAGAAATGGGATAAGGTGCCATGGAGGAGTAAGCATCCCCTGTTGACCAGTCACACTTGCCTTATCATGCTTACGTCTAATTCAACGATGTCCTGTGCGATATTGAGGTGAGCTTCACCCTGTGATATTTATGCAGTAAATAATTACGATGAAGGACTGACATTCAATCGTAAATTTAGAAATATTTATTGACAGAAGTTTTTCCAAATGAGGTTTTTGTCGTTGAAGCTGCCTTGAAAAATGCAGAAATTATCCCATCCAAATACTATATAAAATTAAAACAATTGCTTTCAGATAATATGAACACTATGATTATTCTGAAATATTTGATTATATAGTGTTATCTATCATATCTTTCGTTTGTGCGTAAAAATTCGCATTATGGACTCCGTTATGGGCCCGTAACGTGAAGTATCTAAACTCCATACAAACTCGGTCGGTATTTTTGGGGCGATATCTTTTAAATGAGTCAAGAAATACCATGATAGGACCGTTTTAAACTGAAATATATAAACCCCGTATGCAGGCGATGAAGGTATATTGCTGCATAGGTAAGGGAAGTTGACGATAGAGAAAATGTAAAGTCATCACGTTTATCAGAAAGCTGTGGTATCTTTTATCTCAAGCTCACCAGGATATATAGTATCTACATAAGAATTGAAATTACCATTGTTAATTAACAATACGTCGTCGATCTATCTAAATGTCGAGTTGAAGGCCACAGCAAGTGTTTTCTTCTTTTCACGCATAAGATTTTGCACATATTCTGCTTCATATGAATACAAAAATAAATCTGCTAATAACGGGGCGCAATTGGTAGCCATGGGGATTCCAATAGATTGTTGGAAGTCCCGGTCTCCAAAACAACAGTTATTGTCGATCAGAAACTCAAGCATCGTTTTGATGTCAACTTCAGAGTACTTGTATGTACTATAAGAATGCTTTTTAACATAATAATTTTGCAAATGACCAATGACAAAGTAAGTAAATTTAGTCTTCCATTTTTATAGGAAAAGCAGCTGTCAATATCAAAAAGCCTGGACTTTAATTTATCGTGGTGAATGGTTGTGTATGAAGTTGAAATGTCGTAAGTTTTAAGCAGTTGATTTTGGTAAAATCTAGTTGTCTTAAAGTTCATTGGAATTTTTTAAGTATCCACAACTGATTTACACCACTTCTTTAATACTAGTATATTGTTTCACAGTACTCTTGAAGTTTCTCCATCACTTCTATCTTAGTGAGGAGTAAATTAAGAGGCTTGGTTGAACATTACTGAAACCCACTATGTATCTTTCTTTGCAATGATTCTTATGAAGTTTCGGAATCCAACATATATATGGTTGTTCAAATTCATCTAGATTCTTTGTGTTATTAAAAATATTCAATACTGACACATGATTTTGAAAAAAATTCTTCCTTGGAAAGGAAACTATGAGTATAAGTTGGATAACCACTTGTGGAATTAAATCCAAGTTCTCCTAAAATACAATTATATGATAAGCCTTTCAAACAAAGACAATGTTGTTACCTACTTTTCAGCAGTACCAGTACGTACTGATCATGTAATCTATCTAATTCTTTTTTCACTTATTGATTATTGTATACAGAATGAAAGATGGTTTCATATTCCCTTCAATCTTTTAATATGCGATTGTAACATAGATCTGATACATTTAATCCACTCTGACAAAGTGGCAACGTCTTCTTTTTCATATTTGTCCCATCGCCTGGATTAAACTTCAACAGAATCCACTATATTTATAAAATTACGAAGCCAGTTGAAGGATCGGAATTCCCTATATTTAGGTCTTTTTAAAATAAGTGATCTAAGGTCCTCATTATTAACTATATTTACGTCACTTGTAATAACGTGTCCAGGGGGACTAGAGTTATAAGGCGAAGAAGAACAGGAACACGATGAAGGGCTATGTTTCAGAAACTCGATATCCAAGCCATGTAAAGTTTATTTGTAATTGAAAAGTTTGGTAGTAATAGTCGATGTATATTTGTAGGAAATACAAGGTGTAGTCTTTAGCTTGGTTGAAATGTGGGTTTATGTTAATTGAGGTCCACGACTTGTATACCATCAGACTCCTAAAGGAAGTCTGACTCTTATGCAGCGATTGTTCTGCTTTCTAAATTAATATGACAATAATCAAGGCCTTGCTGTTATTGAATAGATTTTTTTTATCGATGTATCCTTTATATTCCTTTGTATACCTTACATTGTCCAATGTGGCCTCAATCCTACCCCTGGGGGTACTGAATTGAAGAAACTTGAATCTACATTACCTGAAGATGTTTCAACGTAAGTTGAGTATCTTTTTATAATTTATCAAAAATTCTCCCACGATAATTGCCGCGATCAAAGAAATGCCACGGACATTATTCTCCAATAAATCACGAAAGAACGTCATCAAAAAACTATCAGATCAGAAACACGTATCAAACCTCTGCAGTTCAAATGTACATTTGACTTAAGAATGAAATGCATACTTAGACCGCATCGATGCGTCGTCTTTCGCAACTTAAACACTGTTTTTTGCAGAAAGTAGCTGATAAATGTAGGTTTCTAAAGCTAAGCGTGGCTGTATCATGGACCTCCCTACGCCATATTTAAACTCCGTGATTTTAGTGATAAAGTGGTGGAAAAGGAAACGTATTTTGTTATTGTATATTTCAAAAGCTTAATATATATAAGCTACAAACATATTTATGATAAATAAAAGGGTAATTTTAATTAGCAAAGCACAAATCGTCTGCATTCTATTCACGGTAAACAAACAAATTTACACTCTGGTGCTAAATGGGACAGCGTTATTGCAGCATGGTGACCTAATTTGTTTCACTGCTACTTGGTAGAATAGAAATAAAGTCTTTGTTGTCGTGAATGATGCAGAATAAAACCCCGGTCTCAAAAAGTTGTTTGAATATAAAAGCCTTGGTTAACCCTTGGTTTTTATCTTTCAAACAACATTTCTGACCTCGGAGGTTATTCCCAACATTCACGAAAACGCAAACTTTTTTCTTAAATTATTCCGGTGGATTAATAAACTTT